GAGGAGGGTACAAACTGGGCTAAAATGTTGGCTCAATGGAGAAGATAACATCATGGAATGTAACATAGTTGTTTAAGTTTTGGGTAAAGGATTCTGGTTATAGTTCGTTTTTAGTCATGTTTCACTTGATGTAAAAATGGCTTGGTTGAACCCACAAGAAAAATAGGCAAAGGTTTCCATTGGAATAAGATTACATTTTTGCTAATAAATAACAAAAAATTTGCAAATAAATAATTATTTTTTTGAAAAAGGAAGAAGCCAGCAGATATGTACAGCCTCCAAGCCACCCTCAGTATAATTGTTGAAGTCAAAGTCCAGCTCTGATTGTTGGTCAAATTGTGTATAATCCCTGCAAACTCTGCTGAGATCATGAATAGGGCACAACATGTGTCCTATTCAGCAGAAGCCTGTAGCTTAAACAGGATTCAAATAGGTCTTTTGTACACAGGATGAGTGTAATGCCTCAGTTATGTGTCTACAGCCAGGAGCAACAGACTTTATAAGTGGAAGATTTGTCCAGATTTCACAAGCATGAATGAAAAGAATTTGTTCACAAAATAAGGAGATGAATATCATAACAGCAGATGCTGCCATTTATTCTAATATGCTACAGTTGCCACCCTGGTGTACAACAGATGTAAAGCTTTTGGATGTAACTGAGAAATGGCAGTCTTTAGAAACATGGTTGTACACACCCATGGAGGTTATGTAATTTAGACTGGTTGTGAAATGAATAGCCTACAATGAGGACTCAAAGTTTTCCCCGTGAATGCATGTTTGTTCATTCCTTAAACTGAAATAACAGGAATTAAGGATAAATAAATATGATTTTGTCAAAGTTACTAAGTTAGTGTGTAGAAGGAGTTTGATTTTAAGCTTCCACAAAAGGGTTTATTGCTGTTGCATTTAATTGCTTTGTATTGTATTCATACCTAACTGATAACCGGGTTATAGGTAACTGCGTGGACAACGACCCAAAAACCCTTCCCCTCTCTGAGAACCACACTTTATTTAAACAATCTGTAAGGAACCTGTGAGGTCTCTCTCGCTATGTTTCTCTCAGTAGTGCATATCTACACTCTGAAAAACGGTGTTGAAACTTGCGTGTCATCTGCCCAAAGCGGGAGGGGAGGAGATGTGTTGCAGTATAGGTTTGTCGTCGCTTGCCCATTTGGTGTGGCTATGTCTGTGGTGTTGGTGATGATTCTGCATGACCGTTCAACCTCATTACACTTCAAGGAAAGCTTCAAATGGACTTGATGAAAAACGTCCTTTTGGCAAAGGAAGTATGGATATTGACTGATCTTTAGGGAGGCAAATGGTGAAGGCAATGGGTGCTCTGGTGGACCAAAGAGGTCAGCATTTCCGGAGAGACACTCAGTTCAGGACCCCGGTAGTGTATGTTTTTTTTTTTTTTTATGTAAAAAAGATTTATTTGAAAAATAATGTGTAAAAGTTTGCATAGCTGTGTCTGAAAAAACAAATGTGCTCTACAAGTTCTCTTATGTGATTTTTTAGCCATTGAAGTGAGACTAAAACAGGGAGTTCACCTTCTGGGAAAAGGAACAGGAGAAATCATCCAAAGTAAATGAAATTCTAACCATGAAGATCATTTGAGAAAAATGTAGGAGGCCAGAAGCCCACTGACGTTTCAGTAAGTGACGTCAAATCCGGAAATTGGATACACATGGGGGGATGTGTGATAGGTTGTCTGAGGCCAGGGCAGTTCAAATTTGGCAGGTACTGCAGCTAGCTTCGGAGGTTCAGCTTAGTCTAATAAGATTTCTTCGTTGGTTAAATAATGCAGAACAAATTTATAAAGATTTTAATGTTTTCTACATGATCTGCAACTGATGGATGGCATCATTTTCAAAAAAAAAAACATCCACAAAGTAGGCCTTCAGTTCTTGTGGTCTGCATTTGAACATGGACCATTTACACCTGACTACATGGGCTGTAATTAAAATGTAGTAAACAGTGGTATACAGTAAAACAAAAGATTGTGTTTCAGCCATAAAGAAAACAAGACACAGTTTCACATCAACAGCCACAGAAAGAATCATAATGGTTTCAATTGAAAGTTAAAATGTATTTACTTTAAATCCTGTCTAAGTTAAAAGGTCACAGGTTTAAAGATTAAATCATAAAATGGTTCATGAAAATGGGATTCTGGAGCACTTTGCCAGTAGGTTGATCATTAAAGAACTGAGCTATTGCTCCCCCAAGTCAAAGGTCACTTTTGGAGAGCTGTGCACCAATATATCACTGTGTGAGTGCTTCAGTGGGGACTTTCAGCTCCTGTGTTAATACCCAAGGTACTTTTTTACCACGTCTGTAAAGTAACAGCACTGATACTTTAGCACAGCACTGAAAGGTCTGAACTTGTGTAGTTGTGTTGTAGTTGCACTTTGTGTTTCTGTTGGCTCTAAGGTCAAAGAAGTATAAGGACAAAGAAAAACAAAGCACAACACTTTTAGATCAAGGAAATCTCTCAGCTGTTTATTTATATCCAGCACATAGACTTTCATGAACAGTGAGTAAAGCTGATCTAAAAAGGAGCGTGTGTGTGTGTGTGGGTGTGTGGGCTGAGGCAGGCCGGTGATGGCACCACCAGACCAGGCAGAGATAAGCGATAGCAGAGCGTAGTGATAAAGTTTGTTCAGATCATGTGAGACTTTAAAATGAAGCTGCAGCAGTAAGCAGCAACATGAGTCCATCCACCACCACCCCGCCCCTCCCACCACAAAAAACTATGGAAACCTCCTACTAATTATGAGTAAGAAAAGTATTATTAGCTGTAAGATACAGAGGGGTATCAAAGGCAAAAATGCTCTTTTGAAGAATAACCTTAAAAAGTCACGTTATCACCCTTGTTTAGATATTTGAAACTCAGATGTTCTGACATTATGGTATAGAAGAGCATAATGCAAAGATTGCAGAGGAATAGAGAATATGTTCCTCCAGGAAATATTAAGTAAAAATACCATTGTCATAAAATTGCTTAACTTGAGTAAATGTACTTTGACAGTCCATCCATTCATCCCTTCACCTCCCAGGAGTCTAAACCTGCTGTTCACTCACTTAATATGCATTCTATTAAATTATGCACCAGCAGACCCTTTGTTGCTTCCACCTATGCTGTCTCTGCCATTGCTCCATCCTTATTTTCACTTTCACTTGATCCAGCCTGAGAAAACTGCTCATCGACATTGTTTGATTTGAAGTGAGGGTCGTACTGAAAGTCCCCCCTCTCCTCTCCCTCTGCCTGCTCTTCCACTCAAAAATTTGGCTCATCAGCTGTTCTGGGGCTCTGGAGGCGGCCTCCTCCCTTTGTCTCGGCCTATAGGCTAGCTGGCTAAGCTAGTCGGCCCCTGCATCACTTTCTGGGCAACTTTAGACTAGTCCACTCCTTGCTCCCGTGGCTCCAAATTTGCGACTAACCCGCGGGGCTGAGGGGGGGACACAGGGAGGAAACCCCGGCCGGTGCTGCGATGGGGATGGACGGCGGCCAGAGCTGTGCGTGAGTGCATGGACGGAAACAATAAATAACTTTATAGTAGGCTAGTAGGAGCAGTAGTAGTGGGGATGGTGGTGATGGTGGTGTAGGCTGGTACAGGGAGGTCGGGGGATCCTTGCTTTTGATTTATGTGTTTGGGGGAAGCTGTCAGGAGCAGAAACAGAAGCAGCGCGGGCCAGAGATTTTATTCCAGCACTTTAATAATATACAACAGACACTATGCAACAGCACGGACAGCGCTTTGGCCATCCTGGATGCTTTTATACAATTAAACGATCCACCTTTAAACATTGTTCTACCAGCGCATGCAGCTCTGGACGGATGTCTTTCTACCGCTGGGTGTCTGTCTGATCGGCCGGGATGAGTTCTGGGTGCTCAGCCCGCAGGAGGACAAACCGGGCAATAACACTAAATGTTGTCCGGGATGTGTGTTTTCTCTCGGAGTGATGTTGAAGTTATTTATGGGCTGCGTGGATATGTAGAGCCGCTGGGAAACAGCTGTTCGCATTATGGGGCCGCTTCTCCTTTACCTTCCCTTCCTTCTCATTTGTTTCCCCTTGTCGGGCGGTGTGCTGTTTAGAAACATTTCGGGCTTTTTTTTTTCTTTTTTTTTTTTAAGAAGTCATTCTTATTGTGGTTATTATGGATTTTAATAGGATTCATGCGAGTTGTTTATTGGTGTGAACATTGAGGTTTTTATGATAATTTGCATTAAGGATTTAGACGCAGCCCATGCGTGTTGTTAATTGTAATTCCTTGTTATTTTAGTTTTTGTCATTGTGCTTAATGTATTATTAGTGCACCGATTTATGTGCTAATTTCTCACAACCGGCTGATTTATACAAGTATATTTCTATAAGATAATGCAGGCTTATATTGTTTTAATTGGGCTTCTTCATTATTTGTCTCTATTTTTTAGGATCAGCCTACACCCTTCAACAGAACCGTGTTGTTATACGATTGCTATTATTGCTCAGTCTGATTCCACAAAATTATGAATGAATGATTTTATTTTCGATTGTCTCTATCTCTCCACTCCGACCTGTAAGTGCATTACTGATGGGGAGGAGCGCCATTTTTCCTCGTTAAATGTTAAAGACTTCACTAACAGCAGGCATCAGAGATTTTCCCCGTTTAAAAAAAACAAAAAAAACAGGGAAAACATGGTAAATATAATAGATGTGTAATATGATAACCAGAATCAATAACATCTCAGATCACTCCCAGCCGGCAGCCTTCATCCTTCTCTCTGCTCTTATTACTTTTATTCCGGGATTTCAGCGGGAATAATTTAAGGTCAGCGTGCAATAGCTGTCAGCGGTTGCTCCCGTCCCAGCCCTTCGATTAGACTACAAGAGGTCTGTGCTCTGTATCGGATTTTACCAAGACCTTTTGATTGCATATCTCTATCTCTTTCTTTCCTATCTGTCCCCCTCCCTCTGTCTCCCCTTCTCTCTCCCCCGTTCCCCCCTTTACCCTGCAGTTCTTAGGAGCTTTCTGGAAGCCGTTTTCTTCCATCAAAACAGCAGAAAATAAGAGGAAATCTTTCGGTGAGTGCCACTCTTTTACTTCATCCCATGCGGTGCTATCAGAACGAGGTGTTGAGTCTGTGTATTTGCGGTGTAGTCCACCTTATTAGACCGTGTGGCGAGTTTTGTTTAAAAGCCTCAAGGCGGTTTCTGTGCTTGTATGATGAATTCTTTAAATTCAGACTATTAAACCTGTTCAGAACATGGAGGTTTTTAAATATAGAAAAAGACCACACTCTAATACACTTTAGGCTAATCCCTGCCATGTTCTACACTATTATTATTATTATTACTATAATTATTATGCACTTGCTCTGTATTTCGTTGGCGCTATAATTAATAATGATTTCACTTTAAATAAATGTAGAAACTGCAGGAAGATGTTAGTGATTTTGTTACATTTATTTTATACAATTAATTTCCTTTATAAATCGACTGACATTTGAAGAAAGGTGCAGCCGAATGCATGCGAAATGTTACGTGCGTGTGTGTGTGTGTGTGTGAGAGAGAGAGAGTGGTGTAATATATGCCTAATGTAATGACACGTGCTAATGTAATATAATCCAGAGGTGTGAAGGGCAGTGTGATGGCCGCGGGTTAGAGCCGCAGCAGGAAACATGCCCAGGGTCCAGTTCATCATTTGATAAGACAGTTATTAAAACAGCACTTTGTAACTGCAATAATGACACTGATGTCAACACTGGCACTAATAATAGCAATGAAAAGATCACTAACAGCAGCATAAAATAGGCCACGGCTATAGAAATGCTTCAAGTTATTTTCATTTTGACCACATAAAGGAACAAGCATTACAAATAATTCTTTGTTTAGGAAGAATATTTAGTCTTGGCATTTACAGCAACTCAAAACAGACAAAATGTGGCTGAAATCTGATTTTAAATCCCATATTCGGAGGAAATTCCTTGTGTCATCCTCAGTGGCCTACATGTCTGAAGTCCTAAGGGGAAAAGGAAAAAAAAAATGGAAAGAGGCTTTCCATGGTTGTGCAAGGCACAGAGTTTCAGTTGTGAAACCCAATATCCGTGACTCAATCCGAAACATGGAGCCGTCGATGCGCGTCTGCCATCCAAGGAAAATAAAGAATAACTGCCATCCTTTACAAGCACCGGCGTGCTTTTACAAGTCAATACATACATGTAATCCGCTCTGCTTATTTCTCCACATGCACTGCTCTTGCCACACTGTTGCTCAATGGGGAAAAAAGACAAGAAAATCGCTGATTAGTGGTTTGGTTAATGAATAACGAGCTTCTTCAGCAGCAGTTAGATCCTCCAGTCCGTACAAAAGGCTGCTTTGAAGGAAAAGTTGCAGACGGACACATTTCAGGCTCCCACCTTCCACCTACACGGAGCTCATCCTCCCATTTCAGCAGCCCACAGCGAATGCTATCTGTTTTAAAGTTGGGCTGTTTACACACACACGCGCGCACACACGCACACACACGCTGCTGGGTGCGAGAAAACTCATAAATCTTACGTAGCCATAAACGACAGGGGTAGCGTCCTGAATAATAAAAATAGAGGGAAGTGGGAGAGAGAGCTCTGGAGACACACACACAGAGAGAGAGAGGGTGTGTAGGTGTGTGTGAGTGGTAGGGGGGGTGAGAAAACATTGTAAGACACCTTCATATTTTCATTTCCACTTTGGTCTTAGCTCTCAGTGTCCCTTTCCTTCTGGGTTTTCTTGTCACTCTTTTTTTAGCCTACTTCACCTCTTTCTTCAAATGTTACTGCACCTTGCTCCTGTCTTCCTCCCATGTGTGTTAAAGTCAAAACACAAGAACTCTCTTGTAAGTGGAGAATTTAAAGGCCAGCCATGCAGCGCTGTTAGAGCTGCTCATATTCTTTTTACATTTTTCTTGATTTGTGACATTGTTGCTGTCTGCACCTTTTTATGTCAGTCTCCTCCTTTTTACCATGGCGCCCTTTTCTTTTTTATTTACCCTTTTCTGTGCATAAGTAGCAGCAGGGGGGACAAGGTGTTGAAATGTTAACAATACAGACTAAGTGTCCTGTTTCTACAGGGAGACATGGAATGAGCTGCCGGAGGGGCTCTGTAAAAGCAATGATTTTTTTAAGAAAAAATAAGATTTTCTGGAAAAGAAGGGAAGAAGAAGAGGGCAACATTCTTCTCACATTGCCATTTCCAGTGACAGTCTAACTTGGTGTAAAGATAGATAAAACCATGAAAAATATAAATACAATGAGTCATTAAGAAGATGTTTGATGATTTTGAAATAGGAGCTGACTGATGCTATCTACTGTTTGCTTTGGCGTCTATCTGTCCATAACATGTTCATGATCATATTCTCAGATTAAGTCTACAACACTGAATCAGATTCTGAGACTGTTACCATAGTTACACTTTTATATTTTATATTTGGATTATGTCATTTATTAGATTGTAAACATATAAACAACATTGTGTGATTGTGAACATAAACATGTTGAATGCAATGTAGTTTGATGTTAGTTGCTCTCATTTGAATTTACATGATCTCACATAAGTAGCTTTAATACTAGACAAAACTAATCTACAGCCAAACTCAGCAAACAGGGGCTGCTAACCCCTGTTTGGAAAATGAAAGTAGGTGTGTAAGGCCTATAACGGTCTTATCCTGCTCACCCTAAACAGCATCAAAGCCAACAGATACAGTAGTCTTCTACATTGAAGTCTAACATAAATGTATTTGCCCTAGTAGCCTAAAGCCTATTAATTAGAAAAGGAAGAGGGGAGTAAAGATAGACTCCCACCCAAACAAGAGGCCCATGCTGCTTGAAATCAGTTTTTAAGAGGGGAGGAGAGAGAATTGTTAGGGCAAAATCAGAGTTCCACAAATTTACGTTGAAAGAACGTAGTTGTTGTTTTTTTTATTGCGTAAAAGTTACAGAGAAGTTCACCTGGTAAAATTGCCCATTCTATGTTAACACAGTTGGTTGTAGAAGAAAGTCCAAAATGAAATTTGACTTAATTCTGAACTAATGGTGACACGTAGAAAAGTCGCCTCCATGCCTGGTTATAGGGCTAACATCTCTGCCTGCCTGTTTCACTTCCAGCCAGTAACATTAGCATAATTTGTGAGTGACGCTGAGCTGTTTGATGGGGGAATCGACGCGTCCGCGAGTCAAGCCCCGTTATTTCCTCCGTTACACCCCCGTGAGCGTTGCTGATACCCGGTCTTGTTGTCAACAACAGAATGAGAATACCTACCAGGATAATCCTACCACCACAACCACTACTACCATAGGCTATTATTGCTGCTGCTAGCCGTGTGGAATAAAACCACCACCTATAGCCTTCCACAGACCGAGGCGAGGCGGGAGCACAGACCCCAAGACAGAGGAGGAAGACGCGGAGGGAGAGAGGCAGGAGACCCGGGGACACGGAGACAGGGATAAAGGAGAAGGGAATTAAAAAAAAAAGAAGAAGGACGAACAACCACCCAAAAATGCGATGGGGTGACATTTTGTGGCGGACCTGTTCCTCGGAGGCTGTCTGACTGACTGACTCACTGGCTGGCTGGCTGTGTGAGCGACAGAGGCTAAAAAAGAAAGAATTTTGAGGCCATTGTTATCAGCCAGCAGCGGTGCAGGCAGC